GGACGCCACATAAATGTATTGTATTTACATGAGCACTGGAACTAGAAGATTAACTGACACTGAGCATTTAATATATTAACTTCACTCTACAAGCTCTACATCTAGGCTGTAGTTACTCTGTTTAACCCATTTCATGTATTTTATTTATGGCTGAAACAATTCATTGGATTAATCAATTATTTAAATAATGTCAACAAATGATCGATTGATCATTATGGAGTATCGAGACTCTAAAAGATGTCTTTAGCTCACAGAACGACCAACTAAGAGCAAAAAATATACCAAAATTGGAATGAAAAAATTGATAACCATTTTTTCATTTTAGATAAAACATGTTTTCGTCTGTCAATATTCCACATTCCAGAACTCCTCTACTGCTGCAACAACGCTGTATTGTAAATGATAAACATGGTATTCACATCTTATTGTTGGTAGGGACAGGTAGGTCCGTCCAAAGTTTTGGTAGGGACATGTCCCTATGGTCCCTATGCAAACCTATTCCCATGCTCGCGACCCCACTTGGGATAAGCGTGATGGAAGATGAATTGAGATTGTGTTGATTTTGGCGCCCCCAGGTGGCAAACCTTAAATAGAAGTAATTTTTCAGTGGGAAAAATATAATCTTATTTTGAAATAAATTCAGAGCTATAAAAGCAAACGTTTACAAAAAAAAAAAAAAAAAAAAAAGTTTACATATATTGTTGTGTTATCATGATAAAAGCCTCTTGCCAAGATGTGCCCTCTGTCTCACATTCTTCCTCTTCTCTACATCTAAATGTCTTTTCACAGCAGGCAGATTCAGCTCCAGAAAGGGACAACAGAGCAGGTTTCATTCCAGTTTCAGCACCAGGGAGGCACGACTTCCAAGCTTTTAATCCCAGCAGGGAAAAGCTCAGGTAATTTCTGTCATTGGCTTTAAAAGCATGATGACGCCTTGAACTTTATATAAATTTGTAGTTTTAACCCGTGTAGTTCAATCTTCCGTTTTTAAGGCTGGGGCGATGATACAAATGTGCACACAGGATTAAACTGATTGTGAATATTGATCAGGTGCATACTTTTTTTTAAAGTTGTACTTTTTCATCATTCTGGATGTTCCTACAATCCTTGTAATAAAAAAGGAAAATTTCAAAATAAATGTCCTGGAAATAACAATACCTTTAATTAAAAATGAATTCAAATCTGACATGTAGTTGTGGCCTTTAAACCCACTTATACAGTGGAATTTTTCATTTCTCATTACTCCTGCAAATATAAGTGGGGTTGAAGATGTTTTAAGTATATCTTTTTAATCACTGTGATTATAAAAGCTGTTGCTATAGGTCCAAATAAATATCACATTCAAAATTCATTGAAAATGTCAGTTGTATTAATATTATGTAGACAAATGCATCTTAATACAGCTTAACTAAATGTATCTAAAACCTTTCCTTGTGGCTTCTTCTCCTCCAGACCAGCGCTTGCTCAGCAGCGAGGGAACCACGCAGCACCAGCAGCAGGCGGGGGAGGACTGTGGGACAGTGAGGACAGTGAGGGACCCTGCAGCACAGTTTGACCTTTTGCAGGCGTCTGCAGAAGCACAGCGAGAAAAACCGGAGCTTAAGCCGGATAAATCACCCCAGATTTGAACTACTGAGTGCATGCTCGAGTGGAAACTACTGCTCCATTCTTTCTCCAGTGTGTAAGAAAACTAAGGCTACAACACCCTGGGTTTTTCTTATTAATTTGGAACATAATATTTGCAGCTGGAATCAACAGGTATGTCGGTTTGAGGCATATGCAGCTGTGCTTGAAGATTTACCTGCTGCCACTAAAAAATGAAAATGACAAAAGTAGCAAATAAAAATGGAACAAAATGGAAATCATGACATTGATTTTGAATGTATAGAATTACATACGTATTTATATATTAATCAATGAAGCCCCTGAACTAAAATTGTATTAAGCAACATCAATATCAGGTGTTTTCTGTCAAGTTCAGACTTCTGCACCTGTTGACAGATATGTTGTTTCGTTGTTCATGAGCAAGGCACTTTCATTTGTCTGGGAATAATTGATTTTTACAATTATAAATACAAAATCAATATATTTAACTGAATTATAATTTAGCATTTTTATTTATTACTTTTTCCAGTTTTGTTACTTACTAGTCTTACTAATCATTTCTTTAATTGGAGGGTATGTAAATCTTTACTCTATACACCTCTGATGACGTCCATGATGCCAAACTCTCCTCACCAAGACCAAAAGGCTCACATTTGATCACCTTATCTGGTGTTTGAGCAGAAAAAAATTAACAGTAATTTGATTTCATCAAAGCAAGTTAAAATCTCATCTTTCCATTTGTGATGGTGGGATCTAACTCCTAAACCTTAGCATCTGATTGTTGCTACGACGACTCGGTGGCACAGCTTCATTTGGCTTGTTTACGATCGTGGCTTTTCCATTTCACAAATATACACCGTTTGCTGAACTTAAACAAAATAATCAACAACTATGAGACTTTAATGTGACAAAATATGAAATAGATATGAATAGTTTGTTTCCTGCTGCATGTTCAGAATGTTTAATTTAGGCTAACCTCACAGGATTGTCAGCCACTTTGGTTACGGTACCATAAAACTGGATTTGCTGCAAAGAGACGAATAAAGAAAAGGAGAAATGAGTGGTTCAGTACAAAATAAGACTGGGTGATTTATTAATCTCATCAAGATCATTAATACAAAGCAGTTAAAAGGCCACATACCGTCAAACAAACTGATTGCTGGATCAAACTGTTACAGTGCCATCAACAGAGAACTCAATAGAAGGGAAGGGTGTTGGTAAGATTCAATTTATCAATACTGACATGGGAAACTTGGGAAATGGAACAGAAACATGAGTCAATACATGAAAGAAGAATAAAAATCCTCCTGAACACCTCTTGGCAGTATTAGTTTGAAGACGTTGACTAATTACCCATCATCCTTAGCTCAACCTGTTTTTATCTAGAGGTTGTTTGGGGTGATCAGACACCCCCGAGCGTTTGTCTGATGCAAGTATCAGAGCCAGAAAGGGGATTGAAGATGAGGTGGTCGTCGTGTCTCTCCTGCCCTGATCCGTGGTTGCACAGGGTCACTGCATTTACAAACATTCCTGCAACAACTGTGGCTCTTAAACAGTACAGCCTAAAGTGCACAAAGTGTGTTACTCCCCAAAAACAAACAAAAAAAAACACAAAGAAAATAAAAACCCAATTCCTTACAATGCACCAAACAAAAACAAAAAATCTGTGAATATATTTCATTGCAACTTTGATACAACTCCAACCTCTGTTTAATGAGTGTAAGCATTTAAAAGTCTCTGAAAAAGGAGATAAAAGGCAATTAGTAGGATGTACAAAGAGAAGCACACCTCTATGTAAGTGCTTGGCATATTAAACTGGACAGTTTCCATCGCTTTAAAGCACCGCAGGGGAAACTAAATGGCTTTTCTAGGTAAATACTTGCAGTGGCTGAACTGGAGATTGTCTGCAAATTAGTAACAGTGACCTGTTTGATGTTTTTTTCTCTCATTTTTTGTTATGTGTATTTTTTTTTTGTAGCCGACTGTAGCAGCGATGGATGTTTATGAAATATCTGACTGAAAAAGATGGATGATGGTACAATAAAACGGGAAAGAATTTTCACTTTATACAAATGACTTAGTTAGTGTATACATGTTATATATATACACAGCATGGACAAACATGTACAATTTTATAGTGTATAGCTTTGTTCTAAACATTACATAGGCAACTCTTATTTTTAAGCATTTTAAACACCATTTGCTTATTTCCGTAAAGTAGAAAACAAACTAAAAAGGCACGTACGAGCATGATGCATGGATTATTTCAGTCTATCCAAACTAAAACTAAATGTTTCAAGCCCAAAAAGAAAGAAGAGGAAAGAGGAAGAAGTTGGTTTAAAAAGTTCCTCTTTTTTGCGGGTTTTTAGGCATCAGGAGCAGCCAGAGGGGGGGGGGGGGGGGGGGAGGAAAGGCCCAGCTTTGGTGGGAGAACGCGTGCTTCCAGTGCAAAAGTTTCAACACAAATAAAGAAGCCAGACTTCCTACATGGAGGAAGGAAGAGGAGCACAGTGACGGACAGCAGAGAAGGGAATCTGTTAAGACATTGGCTTGAGAGGAGCAGGATCAAAGTAGGATTCGTCCTCTTCGTCCTGCTGCTGTTTGATATCGTGGCAGACATTTTTATTTCCCTTTTTATCAGTCCAATCAAAACCTACTGACTTTGCCCAAACCTTGTGCAAACACAGTGTTCTTGGCTCAGCTGCATCCATCTGGGCCAATAGGACTGGAGCCTGGGGTCAGAGGTCACCACTGATGGATTTTAAAAGGCAACATATTTGTGGCTGCGGATAGGCTTCATATAACCCCCCCCCCCCAATAAATCAAACAGTCAAACATTGACGTGCTACTTTAGTCACAGTGTACAGCTTTGAGATACAAAGTGGGGGATGCAGCTCCTTGTAGTGTTGAGTTTAGTGTTAGAATTGCTTTAACAAGTAAAGAAAATCCCTTATCCCCCTGCATAAAATAAGACTTTGGCAACCGTCTTCAGTTTAGTAGGAAAAGCGAAGCGAATCTGCTGCTCACAGCCACCGTGAGGGACGAGAGGAAGTGTGGGAGCTGCAGAGGGAATGCGGATGATTTCAATGCCCAAAAGAAAAAAGAAAGCACGATTGAGGCTAGAAGACCCAAAAAGCCCCCCTCTCACTCACTTCCTGTGTCAGGAGGGGGGGGCAGCACAGTTTTACCAGGAGCTGCTTTTCACAGATGCAAACGCTCCTCGTGGTCAGCTGGCACACCGGTGGGGGTTTCGTCATTGGCACGGAGGGCTTGTTGGTGGAGGCGGAGCTACTGATCCCCTGAGAGGCCTGACGGGTGTGATGGATGCAGGGGGGGGGGGGTTACGTGGAGCAGTCTTGTTCTTTTAGATCAGTAGCTCGGAGTTTGGTGGCAGACTCACTGGCTGCTGTCGGCGTTCTCCACCAATGAGAGGCCCTGCAGTGGCGGCTGAAGCCCCTCCCTTTTATACGTCTTTGGTGGGAGTTTGGGAAGCTGCGGGATGGGGTTGTGACGCGGGGGAACAGGCGGCGCCGCGGTGGGGACAGGACACAGGCTGTTCTGGCTGGCGCTGAGCGGGCAGCCCCTTCTGGGGATGCGAGGGGACGGCGTGCTGGGGGGGGTGTTGGGCGAGCTGGGGGAGCTGTTGAGGTCCCAGTGGTATCGGCCGCCAGGCGACGGCTGCATGTTGAGCGGATAGTTGATGAAGATTTCCGGAGGTCGCTGCGGCACCGGCGGAGGCGTGTCGGGGAGAGGGTCCCGTGGCGGGGGAGGGGGTGGGCTGGGAAGGGGTCCGTCAAACGGGGGGCCGTTGTAAAGCAGCGGTCGATGCTGGTTTCTGGGCAGAGGAGGAAGCCTGGGAGGGATGGCTGGAGGGCTGTCACACATGGAGCTCAGCTGGAACACAGAAATCAAACTAAACTGAAGCATCAAATGCAACTTTCCAAACGTACGGAAAACCGCGTCTGACTTGATGACGCGGAAAACAGCTTTTACAACGATGGATTCTAGCCCTTTTCTTACTTTTGCTTCAGACACCGTGTCTTTCCTTCGAGGAGGCAAAGGAGGCGGCTTTAGCTCGTCTACTAGCTGGTGGAGGCTGCCGCAGGAGACGGACTGGAACTCTGCACAAAGACATTCAAACTGGATATCTCACACCATGAAAACTACACTAAGGTAAAATCAATCTGTATGAACTGATCACTCACTATGAGATGGCAGAGAGCAGGAAAACATGGAGCCTGTAAAATACAAAAATAAAATGGTTTGAAGGAATAAATTAGGTGCAGATATAAACGAGGGCTGTTTTTAACAGCCTTCTAGGCTACAAATATTTCTCTAATCTCAGTCATAAAAATCTATTAGTGTCTGTTTGCATAAAGGTAGAGTTATATAACTGGGACTTAGGATTGAGGATTAGCACCACTGGAAAAAAATTAAAAAGTTTACAGTTTTTTTTTTTTTTCATTTAAGTTTAATGAGAAAAAAAAAAATCAGAATTCTGCCTTTTTTTTCTTCCTTAGAATTCTGCCTTTTATCTTTATCTTTATTTTTCTCAACTTCTCATACTTTAACCCTGTAATGCCAAATGTATCATATTTGATACATACGGTTTCTGAAATGTTTTGTGTCTGACACCTTTTGCATAATTTAATGGTAAAAACTTTGCTCAGAATCCTATTGTACACAATCAGATATACCTGATAACAGCCAGTAGAAGACTACACAAAAATAACCTTGACTTATGGCATAGTAATAAATTATTAATATCAAAAATGTATTTCTGTTTTTTCTTTTTACATGTTTTGTTAAAAGGCCAAATAAGGACTTCAAACCAAAAAAAAGTAATTTTCTGTTTTGTTTTATTCTTGCATCGGGCTTTAAAGGGTTAAGAGGCTGACCAGAAATGAAAAAAGTAAGAAGATGTTGCAGGATCTCCTGCTCTGAACTGACCGCTGTAGGAGTTGCTGAGGTCGTGCTCCATGAAGACCGAGCTGAGGTCGGAGGAGGCCGACTGTGGAGGGGTGGGGGTGTTGGGAGAGGTGGGCACCGAGGCGGACGACGGCGGGTCCTGCTCATTCTCAGCGATGCTGCGGAAGGTGATCTTATGCTGTAGATCCCTCTCCAGGGCGACGGGGTGGCCCTTCAGGGTGCCGGAGGTAGACGTTCGCACGGGCCGGAGCCCCGGGGATTTCAGAGAGTAGGTGGTCTTCCTAGGCTGGAAGTGGCACACAGAGGTTAGAAATGGAGCAGAGGTAACAACATGCTCTACGTTTTACCCATATAATAAAGGGTGAACCAGGCTATGCAAAAGGAACAATCTCTGTATGTTTTCCTTAATTTGCTGCCATGTTATCTGATTTAAGTCTTCCCTCCCCTTTACCTGGACAGGTGGAAAATACAGCTCTCTTTTTATTAACTGTTTTATCTCTGTGCTGCCTTAAATAACTGATCCACGGCAAAAAGTCTCGTCAGCGTGCAGAGCATGCACACACAAACACAAAATGAGAAACAGCTGAGCAGAGTGGCTAACGAGCATCAACCCAAATGTTTCTCATTAAATTTCAACGTTTCAGAAGGAAATTTGAAGTCAGATTTATTCCAAAAAAGTCACGTGTGCAAAGAAATTCTACAGTGGAAAGATCTGGAGAGTCACACCTGCTGCTAGAGGACATCATCCATAATGAGGTCAAGCGTGTGCAGCGGAGATCTGCCGACACATTATGATGCGTCACATATTCAATGACTTTAAATATGATTTGTTTGATTTTGATATTCTAAAACCACTTCGAGGTTTAAGGTATTTCACACTTAATGTGCTGACAGTCTTCCTAATAGAAATACGGGAGGCATGTTTACATCATCAGGATTCGATTTGCTTGAAAATGATCGTCTATAACTAAACTCAGTGCAGCAGCTGAGATTTTTATTTTCTAGACCGTTTCTCTAACCAGTTCCAGATGTTCAAGGCATCGCTCACGGCGTGGACAGCGTCTCTCTATGGCTGTGTGCAGTGGAAGGCTGCTATGCCTCTGATCCAGAAACATTCCTGTTTTGTAGTGAACTGTCGAACCCTTGCAGAGCCGGGTTCTGTGTACCCCACATCCCTGGCACTACACTCCGTACTTTCCCTTCCATCTATCAATAAATACCAACTTTATTAACAGTTTGTCCAGCAGGGGAGTAACGACGAATTGATAACATCAATAGAAATTGACTTTTTAAAGCGTTGGCAATGAATTTCATCATCGATTAGTTGTGTCGCATGATTAATGCGTTATCCGCCGCCGCCGTCATCACTACCGCTTGACTGAAACGGGGAAAAAAATATGGCAGAGCGAGCCAGCGCCGCAGGTGAGCAAAGGCTGTTTTCAAAAGGCAATAACTGTTCTAATGAGCGATACGACAAACACAGTTCGAGCAAAGTCCTCTAAAGTGCGGGAGCACTTTACGCTTTGTAAAGGGAAAAAAGTCGTAACATGCAACTTTTGCTAAAAACAAATTAATGGAAGCACCACTGTTATGATGCAGCACCTGAAATGAAAACATGATGGAGCCTTTGATGGCAGTGAAGAGAGCTGATCAGCAGGGTGAGCGGCCATGTTTGTTTGGTTTTAAAGTGGGGAAACGTAACGTTAGTTTCTCAGGTAGCTCATCTGATGCTTTCCTTACCGTGTTAGTAGGTTACAGACAGTGATAAGGTTGGCTACTTATTTTACTTTTAATTTCATTTGAATTAGCTTAAGCAGCGTTTATATTTTCTTTATAAATAAATTAACTTACAAATTATGAGGGCAAGGCTTTTAAAGTTTAAATCTTCTGGCAAAGATAAAGTAAAGAAGATCCTGCAATTTATGGAAGTAAAGCAGAATAAAATCCAGCAAGATCAGTAATATGTCAATTAATTATCTGCCACATTCCCATGTAAATATCTGTCTTTGGAGGATGTGTTTTTTAGCACCCCTAGTTTTCTAATTTTTATTCCAAATAATATTTATAATTTGAATCACAGGGCTATTTTTATCTCTATGGTTCAGTATTTTCTCAAGTAGCAACTTTAACTGCTATACTTTCCTGTCTTAAAAGGCAGAACTCTTCTAGTCTAAAAAAACTCATTTGTTGAAATCGGGGGGCCTATTTGAAGAGTTGATTCAGAAAGTAAATCAAAATATTTGTATGTTACAGTAATGGAAAATGAATTAGCAATTTATTGAATATTTAAAATTTAAAGGGAACATCAAAAAGAATATTAGAATTTTTTTAATGAAGACTACAACTTTTCATTTATGTCTGTAGATAAATGAGGAAGTTTCAAAAATGCAATACTACCGCAGAAAAAATGTTTATAAATCAAAACATTTCCAATTATTTACACAAAATATTAAATGTTAGAAATGCAAATTGTAGTTTTCTGCTTTCTGCTGACGTGCTGCAGGGCTGTAATTCAACAGTTTACTGTGCTTCTCATTACAGAAGAACACTCCCAGAACCTCAACACCCTCTGAGCGTCTTTTCTCTGCTGCAGGAAACATAGCCTCCAAAATCGAGCCGGTCTTAGCCAGGAGCACGTTGACATGCTAACCTTTTAGCATTGCAATGTTTGGATATATTTATCCTATTGTTTGAACCCCTTAGGGGCTTTAAAATACAAAAATGTCTTTTTTTGCGCTTTATGAATCAAAGTAGCCTATATTTTGTGGATGTACAGCTACATTTCTCATGTAAGTTTGCGTAGTTTTAACACAAACATTTATTTTTCATATTGCACCAGTACAGTTAATGAGCAACCTGTACTTGTGTGCTTGTTTGTTCTGTCAAAAATCTTTATTTTGGAATAAAGAGGTTAATATTAAAAATATTTTATGTCCGATTCATCGATTAATCGAAAAAATAATCGTCCGATTCATCGATTTTTTAAATAATCGTTAGTTGCAGCCCTAGCTGCAACAATTAGATAACATTATCTATAATATCGACATTAAAATAATTGTGAGGTCTGTTTTATTGTGGACAAACCGCCATCATTTATTTTCCATTGTCAGTAATTTTTTCACACCGCATTAAAAATGTGTTTAAGATTTCTGTATCAGGTCAGACTGTTAGAGAGAAGGGAAGCTGTGAGAGAACATAAATGACAGCAAAGGAAAAGATTTTACATGAATTCATTAAAGCAGCGTAGTAAATAGTAATAGTAAATAAGTAAAGTAATAGTAAAATAAGTAAAATAGTAAATAAGTAAATAAAATCTCTTACAAATCGGGCGGGCTGCCTGGCGTTCCGCGGCTCAATTTCCAGAGACTTCTTGAACAGGTAATCTGAAAACTCCTTCTCACTCATGTTTTCCATTGGATTCAGGTTCTCAAAGTACCTCTAATCAACAAAGAAAAAACACATTTAAACTTCAAGATTTATAAATAAATAAAATACAATATATATAGATTAGAGTTAAAATCCCTGTTCATAGAGAGCAACGCTGCAGCCCTCACCCTGATATCTGGCTCCACCTTCAGACAGTAGGGCTGGTTCTGGTACTGCTGGATCTCTCCGGTTATTTCGGCCACTTTCCGTCGCTTGCTGAAGTTAATCAGGTCCTTACCGTGACGTCTGAGGAAGTCAGGGTTGCCTTCCTCAGTCTTCAGTATGTTCGTTAAATAGATGCCTACAAAAGCAGAAGAGTTCATCAGAGGAGAATAAAAATGTAGAACTGCTTCACAGCTTTCAACATACATTTGAAATACTAAAAAGTGCAAAAAATAAATAAGGAAAAAGAAAAGGTTATAGTTTAATAGTTACTAAAAGATGGAAATGCAACAAAAATAATGTGCAGGACAGAACCTACCAAAGAAAGGCACACAGGGAGGGTTTATGGACTTGAGTCTAGCCAAGTATTTCTTAAAATGATCCTGACTTAGTTCCATCGCTTCCTCCAGGATTTTCTTTTTCCTTTCTGGAATTGCCTGAAGAAGACAAAAAGGCGAGGAGAAAAAAATATTATAATTTAAAGTCTCTGAAACAAAGAAAAAACAAAACAAACATCCATGTTTTTTTGAGTTTCTAATGTTAGGCCTTTCTGGAGGAGAAAGACAAAAACAGTCCCAGAAGAAAAGCATAGCAATAGGTGCAGATTAGCATAACAGGTATACTGAGAAACTCTTCTCTCTATTAAGGCTGGTTATTCTCAGAAACCAGGTGGTCTGCGTGTGTGTTGCAGTTAACGCACATATGCCCCACCCCTTCCGCTGACTCTCTGCCGTTGAGAGCGTCACAGGGAGGAGAGAAAGGAAAGGTGATGCGTATTTCCTGTTTGGTAGCTAAGGGCAGAAACTCTGGCTGTAGTGCCGTCCACAACGCCGGGCACACCTCGAACACTATCCCAGACGCCATGCAGGATGCTAGTTTGTAGCTCTGAGCGACGGTCTGTTGGTTTGCATGCAGCACCACGGCCAGTCTCTGGGGAACACTCACTGTTGAACAGTGTGTCGTCCGGCGTTGGATGAGGGGTTGTAGGCAGCGAACAAGCTCATCAAACCGACATGCGGACGCCCACAATCCTAGCTAGTTCGTGATTGTCCCTCTTGTGTTGTGGTGTGGAATAACAGCGCAGACCACATTGGGCATAAAACAAAAAATGTCTGCATCATACCTGCGACAAGCTCACTGCGACACGCTGCTGCGGGAGGATAACCAGCCCTTCACACTCGTGTCTTCCACTATATGGCCTAGTGTCTAATGTCTTAAGACATTGAACTACGGCTGTAACCAACGATTATTTTGCAAATCGATTAATCTGTCGGTTATTTTTTCTATTAATCGATTAATAATCTGATAGCAAAAGGCTCCTTAAAGGAGATTTTTTACTAAATTAAACCAGTCTAAACTTAAATTTTTCCACTTGAAAAGTTCTGGATAGAGCATATTGACGGACAAAAAAGTTTTTTCTATCTTAAATGCAAATGTTTACATCTTTTTTTTTTTTACAATTTTCATATATTTACTGCTCTAATTGGGTCACTCTGTCAGCTAAAGGCATGTTCTACAGGCTCTATACTACAGTTAACGTTTAATCAACTACGAAAATAGTTGACTATTATTTTAATAATCGATTTTTTTAGTCCCACATTGCAGAACTGTACTTTTGGATTAAATGTAATAATAAAAGTTCTAATATATAGAAATAGGGTAAGTTTAAACACATCTAGGTGAAAAAGCTCACTGCCTCTCTTTTGCTACAACCACAAACTTCACAGCATGTTCTGTTAAAGACCAATTTAAAGCAGTGGATGATCTTTAAAGGAGAAAACCTTAAAGTTTTCCGTTTTAATAAAAAAAAAAAGAAAAGATGTAGAATGCATTAATTCTAAAGGCCTTCGGTGAGTTTACCCATAAATAAAACCCAAAGCATTAAGCTGTAGGAGGAACTACTTTTACTGATTTAATAGTTAGATTAAGCCACAAAGAAGGTAAAGCTGGGCGGAACAGAGTTAAGGACAGTAAAGTGCAGATTATACTTCTGCAACCGCACACATCAAATGTTGCTTGGTTCTGGTAAAAAAACAGTTTTGTTGGTATACTCCTGCACCGTTGGTCTGAAATTTCTAGGAACGCGGTTTGAGCAGAAGTGCAAGGGGGGGCCTATTCGAGAACTTTGGCGGCGGGAGTTTTTATCTTCCAAAACAACAATGGCGCATCTGCAAGATATCACGGTCACAGAGATGGATCTAGAGTTGCTAGACATCGAAGAGGAACAGGTTCTGTTAATGGAGATGGATTAATTTTTCGTCGTAGTTGTTCCTCGGGTTTTAAAAATGGCGCGCCCCGGCACCGAATCGAGAAGGACGACCACACAGACAGCCAGAAAGGCAAACCAAGGACCAATCACAGCTGCTTTTTGTCTGCGCGGGTTTGTAACCGTCCGACGTCTAGTCAGGATTTTTTCTGAGGTGCGCAACGACGGTTGCAGCCTCTGCGCGGGGGGGCGTGGTCGTGCCCAGAGACAGATTTGACGGTTGCAGTGGCTATGCATCTGAAGCCACTGGCCTTAAGACTTGAGAATGAGGCAGAATTAAAGCATAAAAGCAACGGTAGAATGGCCTAATCATAGCTTGGATCCAAATCTAATTAAAGAACTGCAGCAAGGCTTCATAAAGCACGGTGGTTCCATCTATTTTAGTCTCATGGATGAATATAACAAATAAATTCTGCCCTGACAAAGAAAGAAGCACCCAGCTTTTATTTACAGACTCACCTCAAAGGTGTGGTCTAACCTGTAGACCGGGACGGAGTTGATGGCACTGACCACCTCCAGCACCCCGTTAAAGTTGTTAAGCTCCTGGAAAACCTGCAGAATCTCAATGACCCTGGATAACACGGCAACCCTTTCCTCATGGTTCATCACTTCTACGATACACCTGCAACACAAATACAGATTCCTTTAATAACCATAGAATAAATTCATGATATAGGGGATAAAAAAAGGAAAAAAAAAAACAGGACTGACTTTTCAAACCACAGTGTTAGGTTGGTGGTGTGGCGGATCATACGAAGCAAGTTTGGAGAGTTCTTCTCCTTGTCCTCTTTGGTCCAGACGCTTCCCACCAGTTCTGACGGTCGGACGGCTCTGTGCATCAAGCATCGTTTTTATTACCACCAAGAATCTGGTAACAACCTCTTTACTGGCCTTAAAGTCTCCGTCACCGTTTACCTGTAGAGCTCAGACTCTATCAGAGTGAGTTGGCGGGCGATCTCAATGGGGTGAAGGGTCATGAGTTCAAAATTCTCACTCTGGCCGGCTTTGCAGATATGCCACTCAAAGGGAGGAGGCGAGCTCTCGAAGGTGATGTTGTGACTGATGCCGTTTGACTGGATTTGGAGCTTCCTCCTGATGACCTTAGTGATAGACTCCACCCACTTTCTCATGGACTTCCCTTTAAAAAAAGAAAAAGATGCAAACGGTCATTTGAAAACACCCAATCACAGACATGTAAAATGGTCTTCCATGTTGTTTTTAATCCAGCAAAAGAGCACAAACTACAACCAACGACAAAATGGTTGTTGCTCCTTCTTTAATGAAAGAAAGACCCACAATGGTTACAGAATAAACTTGAATCTGACAAAAGTAAAAATGAATAAAGATAAAATAAAATAAATGCAATGTTTTTCATCCATGCTTCAAAATAATGATAAAAAAAAAAGAACTAATGAAGCAGGCCTGGAAAAATTGTTGGTACCCTTAGAAAAGACTAAAAAATAATGTTCCCAAGTTAATCAAGGTGTCATCATTGTGACGTCATCAAGGTGTATCAAATGAACGTGACCATTGTGGGTTTTTCTTTCATTAAATGAGGAGTACCAACTGCTTTGTTCATGTGTGCATCTTATATTTCACCTGGTCTCTCATGGTTATTTGGTGAATAAATTTCACCTGAATAGCAAAGATTTTACTGTCGCCGATTTGTAATTGCAAGAAAATGTGCTTGGTTTGGATTCGACAGCAGAGGTAGAGTTAATATACGATATATTGATTCAAATGTGTGTGAAATATCGCAGGGGAATGATTACAGGGTTCCTACAGCATAAGGCAAGTTAAATTCAAGACTTTTTAAGACTTTTTAATGCCACTTGAAATAAAAATTTAAGACAAAATTCACAAGAAAGACAAGAAAAACCTGCTTGCGACAATTTAACCCAAAGGTTTATTTTAACATAAACCACTGCACTAATGTTTCACATTTTGAAAAGCTTCCCATCCAGGAAGAAAGCTAAAAACACACAAATGACAGATATATTTTAACAATTATTTAACTGAATTCACAAACTTTGTTTTAGCAGGGAACAAAACAAATCAGTTTTAAAGCCCCAACATAACCAGTGCTAAGTCTTTTTAGCAGCTATTTTTCTTTGTATGGTTTTCTTAGTATGTTTGATTTGGTGATAAGTGGAGGGACCTACCCGCCCCAGCCGGTGAACAATACCTCCTTAACGACCAACCCTTAACAATCATAGACAGGTTTCAGGTATTACAGGAGACAATCCCCCCCTTAATGGCAATCCCCCCTTTAACGACCGACCCCTAGAATCATAGACAGGTTCAGGTATTACAGGCTAACGATGGAACTAAACGACCCATTCATCGTTTACCATTGCATGTTTCCAAGCGATTCAAGGCGTTGTCTATATAAGACTCAAACTCACTGCGGATCCAGACATTTGAATTGAGAAAGCTTCCTGGAGAGGTGGCGAAACGTCTTCAAATCTTGAAAACCAAGTCCAGTGGATATTTTTTGAATTTTTACGGAATAAGTGGAGGCGTTGCAGAGACAAGGGTGGAACTAAACTGAGAAATACCGGCTGTTTCTCTGTAACTCCATTTTGACGCTTTGTGTTTCGTGCTTCGCATGTGCGACTCCACTGCCTTAATTCCCATCGTTCTGAGCTTCAATGACTTCTTGCATAAAATCCACTGAGCCTCATGTATGTTCCCTGGTTTTAGCCATGGAGGAAACTCTTGGCTGGAGACAATTTTGGTTACATTTACACTTGATCAGATTTTCCAGACAAAAAGTTAAAGGTGCATCTCCCAAATGTCCCCCCCGCAACAACGCTTTATTGGTTCCGCTATCGGGACGGAACCAATAATGGAGAGCCGTTATTTATGTATTTTTTTTAATAAAAAAAAATAAAATAAAAAAATAATTCTATTTTAGTGTTTTATTTAGATTACAAAAATAAATTGTACTAAAAATAATCCTATTTATGATGTTTTAAAAATTAAGACCTACGAAAGACTGATTTAAGACATTTTAATACCAATTAGGTTTTATTTTGAAGGATTCAATGCCTTTTAAGACTTTTTAAATGTAATATTTCTAAGTGTATTAGGGCTGAAAGAATTAATTAGATTAATTGTGATAAATCGGTTATTGAAATAAACGTCAACTAATTAAGTGACCGAATAATCATTAACTAAAGCAGAGAGACTCTAAAACATGCCTTCAGCTGACAAAGCGACCAACTTAGAGTAGTGATAATAACACAATTGTGTAAAAAAAAAAAGGTATAAATATTTTGCATTTCAGGTGAAAAAAATATTTTTGGTCCATCAATATGTTCTATCCAGATTTTTTTATAGTTTGAACCAGTTTAATTCGGTAAAAAATCTTTAAGGAGCCTTTTACTATCTAATTATTAATCCTAAAAATGTAACGACAGATTAGCAAAATACTATTATTTGAAGCCCTATGTTACCATTCATGTGGCAGCAGCATATTCTGCACAGCAGCTGTTTGCCTGTAGGATGGACCTTCCCCCGTTTTCCATGGATGTATATTTCAAATTGTAAGGTAGTAAAATCACCAGATATTCGGTTCACAAACAGAAGGACTGAATGCTGAGTCATTTTACTGCACCATGTTGTGTCACCACGGTAACGTTTACAATCACACCTGATCTAAATCACGTGGATGGATGGTACCGCAGGAAAAGCTGCACCGGTTAATACAAGTTAGAGATTTCTGTTGTTCTTTTCTTAAAGCAAACGTGCAAAAACATTTTTTACTTAATCCCTGGTAAACCTGTGCTCGTTTCTGCAGGTGATACCGATTAGTCCTTTTACGTGGAAATGCTTCCCCTGTTTCCCTGTATATTCGACTGACCTCGGAGTTGAAGCTTTTGGGTGATGTATTCCTCCAGCTGAACTCTCAGGTCCGGATTGTTTTCAAAGTCGTAGAAATGATGTTCCACCCACTGGCGAAAAACGTTGAGAACCCTGTAGAGGAATGATTATGCAAAGTTTCAAATTTACAATATAAAGTTTTTACTCAACATTTTTATGGTTGAATATAAATATATGCTTTTACTCGATATTCAAGAACTGACGGGACTTAATCTTTGGCAAAAACTTCAGTTAAATCTAAAACTGAAATAATCACCTTTTCAGCTGCTTATTTTAGCCCATATCTAAATAAGATAAATAAATAGTCTAACTTTACTGGATCATCCTGTTTTATAGCAGGAATATGCACTGTTGATGTTTTTAATAGGTCACTTGGAGCCCTAACTGTAAACGAACAACCATTTTTTTCTTGATTATATCCTTATAGAGGCAGACTTTCTGTGATAGCGGGAAGCTTTTAGGGTTTAATGCTGCTAAGGAGGCCGGTCCTGTTAGGAAAAGTCCAGCAGACATGTCTCCTTCTCTTTAATGTGTGCAAATACAAAGAGAAACTAAAGATAGAACAGGCAGTTTTCCATTTTAAAAAGCCTAATCAGATTGGCATACTGAATACTAAAACTAAATAAAAGTTAAACAGTTTGATTTCACATTTCTCAATGAAGCTATTTTTAGCTGACCAAATCCTCTAGGACAAAACCATTAAAATCAGTATGAACTTCATTTCTGATGGACTTTTTTAACCTATATAAATTGGTTTATACTCTTCCCTTTTATAGAGAAATTGTGGATTAAATGAGAATAAGTTGGATGGTTGCTATACCTGAGTTGGACCGGTTGCACATATTCCCGTCTGAACCTCTGAAGTTCGGCGGTTGTTGGCGGGTCGCCGTTCCAGATAGCCACCTCATCGTCGCCATTTCCTGACTCAGGGATATTAATCCTGATAGAAAAAACATGTGATAATCAGAATTTCAAGAATACAGTAAGAAGTAATACCAGAGGAATATTTCCAAAATTTAGCATAGTCGTGTAAATGTATATATTTTTTTTCCCCAAAATTTAAAATAATCTGTGACCTGGTGAACATTCATAGCATTCACTGTGATTAAAGCTCGACCTTTTTGGGTTTATATCCATCAGTTTTTCCAAATCTGAAGGCAGATTTAACCGTCTAATCTTCTTTGGTCGTTTACTGAAGCTCGGTCAGATTAGATTAGGCATTTCTGCAAACATTTCTTTTCTAGCTATAGATTCTCAACTGTCTTTAGATCTGGACTTCGGCAGCTATGTTTATAAAACTCTGCCCAGTCCCTGCAGAAGACATGAATTCCCACAGCATGATGCTGCCACCACGCTGTAATGCATGGGGTAAAGTGCATCTTTAGTTTTTAGAAGTTTACATTTTGAGCAAAATATTCTCATCTGATCAAAGCAACATCTTTCAGATGTCTGGTTGGTCACCTTGATAACAAACTTTAAACACATTTCTATGCTATAATTTGTTAATTGGATGTTATTTAGGGGCGTAATACAAAATGTACATGAAACTTTAAAGTTTTTAAATAAAACTAAAAAATGACTCATCAAACAGACCTAAACCCAATAAAATTCATGTATAATTGCTACATCAGCAAACTTTCAACAGGCATTAAGACTGTCTGTGTGGCCATGTATTGGTACAGCATGTAGTATATCCTACAATACTATGTTTTTGGGACTTATGGGTACTTTTGGAGACCACTGACTGGACACCCTAGAAGGAAAGGTTTTCCTTGTAGGTTTGGGTCGAATTCGGTTTGAATTTAGTTTAGCTTCCGTATGAACTGGTAATACTTAGAGTTAGGATCTGGGTTAGGATATAAAAATTAATGCAAAATATATGGAAGCATAGTGGGAGAAACTCGCACAGCTGTGTGGATGTAAGTTGTCTGTCCAAGTCTCAAAATACATCAATGCGGCAGAGCATGTGAGCGGAAGAAATATGGTTGAGTGCAGAGCGGTTTTCAATTCCAAGGCCGGAGCCAGGATTTCGCTCCGACTTTATTTAAATTCTTGTTTGACTTAAAACCTGTAGTCTGTGCCTATAATCCGTTATAGTCTATGTTCCAACTTTACGAGACAAGGATTGCAATATTGTATGATGCTATTTTTTTCTCCCCCGATGCCTGGCTGTTAAGTATCGGCCGATGACAATAGTTAAAGAAACTTTTGGCTCTCAAAATGGTATCGGAGCCCTATTGGTTGGTACTCACCGATACGATACCACCAATGGATCGGGCCCCCGCCTGATACTGGTATCACTATCGGTGCACTTGAGAAAATATCATAAAAACATGAACTCTCTATACTTAATAATACAGAGTGGGTTTACATAAAGTGATCATTGTGGTAAGAGGATGGCATACATGCTTTATACGCTATTATCTCATCTGCAACGGGATGTAAAGTGACCTTTTTTAATGTCGTCTAGTAAAATAAATGAATAATAAAATAGGAAACGCGGGGCAACATGAATGGATGGAGGTGTTACGTTCACAGCTGGGAAACTGCGATATTTTAACAGCCAGTTAAATAAGACCATACACCTGTATCGGTCACATCGTTAAATCAAACGCTGTGTGTCTGAGAGCCCTGGCATCATTACACAAAGAAAAAAATGTCTTCTCCTGAAAATTTGAGTGAGTGTGGAGCGATTTCGCTGGAGCGGCAGTAAAACTAAGGTGAATGCGGAGCTGATTTCTAGCCTGGTGCAACTTTGAGCGGCGGAGCGAATGAGCGACCATCCTCCTGAGCGAAGGAGCTGGAATTCTGTGGCGCCTCGCTCCATTCACCTGCTCTGCAATGCGGTGCTGTAAGAACTGCAGAATAAACCAGGTGTTTCCTCCCTATCTGCCATGGTGAACCGTACCTGTCTATCAGAAGGGAGAGGAGCTCCTGTGGTTTGCAGAAGGAGCGATAGGTGGTGAGAAACGTGCGCACAAAGTTGGGATCTAAAACAAATCAATGAAAAAAACACCAATAGAAATATTACAATAGAGATCTCAACTGCTTGTTTGTAGGAGTGAATTAACTGCATCAGCTTACCAGCATACATATGGTAGGTGAGCCTTTCTATGAGTTTGACCACCGTGCCAGCCTTAATGATGGGGATACCGGTCTTACTCTGCACTCTGTCCTCAAACACTATATTCTCCTCAGAATCCTGCACAGCAAACTGGTAAACCTCAGGGGAAGGGAGTCTGAGAGGACGCTGCTGCTCCTCGGTCTGCAGTATAGAGTCCAACATGCGATCCAAAGTGGAGCGGTACTGAAGAGCCATCAGCGCTGCCATCCAGTTCGCTTTCTCCTCTGCTGTCCTTGCGCAGAAAACCGCAGAGTTTTCATCTTTGAAGATTAATTCGAAGGCGTGCTGCAGCTCTGGGGAGTCCTCACGGTCAACAATGCGGATCTTCCTCAGCACAAACTTTTCTTTGAGGCGGTATTCGGCCCCGCTACCGGAACCAGGGAGCCGTGAGCTCTGATTGGCCTTGCAGCTAATCATGAGGCCGTCGAACAGGAAGTTGTGTCTCTCGTGCTTTGCACCTGCTCGTACAAGCGTCCCTTCAGTAATGAACTCGTTGCAGCACTGACCGATGTCTTTTCCCTCCCAGCCATCGATGCTTTTCTGGATCTCGATCATTCGCTTGATGGCGAGCTGCTTCCCGCGGACCTGCCGGCTGTACCGGCGATAAATCGCCTCACTGAAAGGAGGAGTACAATTCGTCAGAAAGAGCAAATCCCAAAAAACCCAAATCATGGTAGAACTGAAGGGAGAAAAAGATGTTTTTATAAGATGTGAACAATAAATCTGTTTAGCTGATGAGCAGAGATAAGCTTTAATGTGTTATTGATGTGATGCTGGAGGTGAAAACGTACACAGGTTTACGGCGAGGCTGGTGCTTCACATATATCCGCTCCACGCTGGACTGCAGGTTTAGCAACGCTGTTATCGCCTGTTTCAGACATTCTCTGTCATCTTGATCTTCGCTGCGCTCCTGAAGTTGCTGTAAAACACGTCAGAAAAGAATAAATATCAGACCCTTACTGTTAGTCAAAATATGCTTATGGATTTCTGCTGGAAAAAAAAAAGATAAAGTCATGTTTTAGGCAACAGTAAGTCTGAAGCTTTTGGTTTTCAAACTACAACCATGATGCTTGTGTGAAAAAGCTGTTTGAGTTGCTGAGCAAGGAGCGATTTTAAAACGCATTTATTCTCCAAGTTGTGCAAAAAAACGTCTTTGAAAGCATTAAAACACTAGCCTGACGTAGTCCGACTCAATTCTAGTCAGAATGAGTCTGATGCTGCTCCATAGAGCTGTGATTATGGGGCGTGTTTCGAACGAACCAGGAAAAAAAATGCCTCTGCACTCAATTGGATAGACCTACAACCAATAAGAGCAACGGAGTGCATGACGTATGTTAAGCGAGGCATAGTTGTTGTCCACAAAAATCAAAGCGTGCAGTTGCACGCCTGGAATAAGAAGATGAGACTTGATCGCGTTTCTCTGTTCCTCTTTTAAAATTAATTTGCTGTCGATATCTTCTAGAACAGACCTAATAGCAGAATCTACTCACCCAAACTCTCCAGCGGCAGCCATTATTGTTGTCACCCAAGCGCGCTTTGGTCACGTGGTTGATAACGTTACTCTTGATCATCTGTCCATCATCGTATAAAGCCCGCCCTGACAATTTGATTGGATCGCCTGACAGTGGGCTTTAATACTCGCGCTACTATGGAGCAGAGCCAGACCGAACTTCCCCGAACTCAAACCTTGTGGGCGGGACTAAGTTCGGACTGGCACCCAGGCTATTAAAACACCTAATTTAAGGAATGGAAAATAACGAATACATCCATCAGTTTTGATTAAGCAAGGCTGTCCTGCTGAGCATTTAGTTAAAAAAAACTATTGATCCCAAAGGAAAACGAAATTACACCACAAAGAGAAAACTCCGGCAACTTATGTCCGCAAACAACCGCTGGACTCTCCTCTCCTTCCTCACACCTACCACCATTTTGCTATTCTGTTTTTTTTAAACACTGTAAAGTTCACCTGCATTCCTGACTTTTATTATTGTAACAACTCTTTATATGCATCTTGCACTACTCATTTTGACTGCTTATATTTGCACTGCTGACTGTTTATTCACCGCACCAATTGTTTACATTTACATCTGCAATAACGTACTTTAACTGTAATATGGAATTAGCTTCCACTGCACTTTAATTTAGATAGCTTCGGTCCAAACTCTATTTATTCATTTTATAGTAAAACCCATCTGTATATTATGCTATTGTACATAATTGTTAATTTTTTAAATAGTAATATCCACCTGTATATTATATTCGGTACATATCCAGCTGTAAATTTAGTTCATAGCACTAGTGATCTATATATTATATTCATTATTTCTAACAGCATTCATCTCTATACTCATTCAGTAGAACCATGTCCTGTATTTATGGAACCATTATTTATTCTGCACTTGCTGCTATTGCACTTCTGGTTAGACCTAAACTGCATTTCGTTGCCTTGTACCTGTACCTGTGCAATGACAATAAAGTTGAATCTAATCTAAAAAATCTAAAAAAAAAAAATAAAAACTGCCAAAAAGTTTATTTTTTCCTCCACAATTATCAATGTTTTAATAAAGAAAATCCGACACCAGATTGCCGTCAAACAGGTTTAATGAGAAGGGTTTTCACTTCTCTGCAAAAAAAAAAAAAAAATTATGACATTGATCATGTTTTTATTTAATATTATTTTCATTTTGAAACTTTAGGAAAATTATAGGATATCCATTGAAATTCTCTGGTGGTCATGTGACAAACTAGCCTGGGTGCCATTCCGAACTTAGTCCCGCCCACAACGTTTGAGGTCGGGAAGTTCGGTCTGGCATTGCTCAACAGTAGCGCGAGTATGCTCGCACAATATCTGGCTGGCCAATCAAATTGTCAGGGCGGGCTTTAAACAATGATGGACAGATGATCAACAGTAACGTAATCAACCACGTGACCAAAGCGCGCTTGGGTGACAACAACAATGGCTGCCGCTGGAGAGTTGAGGTGAGTAGATTCTGCTATTAGGTCTGTTCTAGAAGATATCGACAGCAAATTAATTTTAAAAGAGGAACAGAGAAACGCGATCAAGGCTCATCTTCTTATTCTAGGCGTGAAACTGCACGCTTTGATTTTTGTTGACAACAACTATGCCTCGCTTAACATACGTCATGCACTCCGTTGCTCTTATTGGTTGTAGGTCTATCCAATTGAGTGCAGAGGCATTTTTTTTCCTGGTTCGTTCGAAACACGCCCCATAATCACAGCTCTATGGAGCAGCATCAGACTCATTCTGACTAGAATTGAGTAGGACTACGTCAGGCTAGTGACAAACAGTCAGATCCATTCCCAACTTTTAAGTCTTTTTTTTTGTTAAGGACATATAAACAAAACTGTAGAACATAGACTTCATTCACATAACTAAAAAAAAAGGAACAGAACAAAAATTCCTACTTTTCAATGTACATTTTTTCTCTGCTAACATGCTTTGTGCATTCAGGGATTCTACGTTTTGCTTTGGGTTGGCATAAACATAAAAGAACCATAGCTATGATAATTTACGCATCAGTAAGCTGACTGAGAAACTCATTCTTTCTACCTGAAAATATTTTATTTTTATCATTCCGTCCCAGGATTAGGCAGCTCAGGGCTGAGCTGTAACACTAAGGTTGTGATAAGTTGAAGTAGCAGCTCTATATTCTGTAATGGTGCTTCCGATAAGATCATTTAGCGTCAGTGTTGCTGTTGAGAGAACCATTAGAACTGAATATGAAGTATTTTAAGTAGTAAAATCACTTCATCGGTTTATTTTGATGGGTCTAATACTACTGTACATCTCTCTGAACTCAGAGGGCTAATAAATATCAAACCGCTGAGAATCTGTAACCTAATATCTATTTTAAAGTCCAGCTTAATTGGTAATAAAGCAATCCTGAGTACATACCTGTAGTAGCTCAAAGTAGTGCAGACAGTGGTACACTGGAACCTTCATCAGCTGGGGAAGGACATACTGAACGCACTCCTTAAAGCCCCCCTGATTAGACTACAGGCAGAAACAAGAAGAGTTGAGAATGTGGAAATAAAAAACCAGGATGAGTTGAATTTCTGCAGAAAACAAGATTAATTATCAATCAAAATACATCAAAAGACGGATCAGCAGTTTTATTGCTTTCATTTTGTGATGGCGTTCAGCATGATGTGTTTGGGCATGTCTGCAGACTGAAACTTATGGCTGCAGGGGGGCAAGGACAGAAGTGAAAGCAAAATAAAACCTAAAACACAAGAACAAAACTGAAATACAAAGTCCATGTGCATGTTCCAGACGACAACTGTTAGACCGACAAGCGAGCTGGCACAGTAACTGTTGGGGTGGGGCCAAAGTATCCACTTTAATCTTTGATCCCCTGATGAATGACTCAGAATCAATGTCCTTGTACTTAGACTCCACAGCAGCAGCTACAATGTCTGGCTGGAGAGAAAGAGTCTGGGGAGGGGGAAAACAAAAGCATCAGCTGCCTGATGCACACTGATGGACAGTGAGGAAACAATGAGCTACATTTTGATCACGGTATTGATATGTCAGCAATAGCTGCACATTTGAACTACAAAATTAGCAGATAAGGAACAAAACTGTTTACAGCTCAAGCTGCAGGGAAGTGCCGAGTAATCTTATCACGTTTTATTAAGGATGCCTGGTAGATACTCATCAGACAAAAAACAATGTTTAAAATCGACCAACGTCAACAGATATCGATGTAAGGATATATATATCCCGCATCACCACTCCACACACACACACTGGACCATTCTGAATATGTTTGGATCTAAAGCGTTCTCTAGTAGGACTGGCTCTACGTTTATGATTGTTGTGCTGCTGGAACGGAAATCTCTGCTCCAGTGTGAAGCCATTTACAGCGTCTAATAGTTTTTCCATCCATTTTTTTACCCATCAAAGCCCACCATTTCCCTTTTCTTGATAAAGACGGCGGCGTATTCACGGTGATCTTCTGCCACTCATAGCATTTAGCATGTAGGCATTTAGCATTGGTCATCTATTTGTAACACTCCATATAAAAGGCCTAATTTGTGGAAGGAATGAGTAAAAGTTTAATTTTCTAAAGATTCACTCTACATGAGCGCTGGATCATTACAGATCATCCAGAGTTACCATAAGTGGCTTCGCTGCTTCACAGATTAATGTTTCCATTACTAATACATGGAGCTTGATCTTTTTTTCTTTTTTTTTTTGTACATGTGAAAGCAGTTACTTTAATTCTTATTTAGGTTTATAAGAGCAAAGGGTGATAAAATGTGCAAAACAGAAGCTAAAAAACTTCCGGAAGTTAAAAAACTCCCTGAAAAATGCTTTAACACTTGGTATTCATTAGACCAAGTAACACTCATCATAATACACCTTGCTGTTAGTGCATGCATACTTTACACGAATGTAAAGAAGGTTAAAATATAAGCCTAAACTTCCAGCTGGATAAAACACGGCATATCCGAGCACATGTTCCTGTAACACAGAGGTAGAAGAACTCCTAGAGTCATCTCTGGTCGTCTGACATCATAATTCACAGCTTATTTTTGATATGAGATGCGCTTCAGGTCATTCGCACCCAACCACTCTCCTCCTCAAGAGCAAAATGGCTAGCAGCATGCCTGACTGTTCTATTTTTAAAGGCCAATGTAATTTAGCCACAATACCAGACAGCGCCGAATGCAAGGGCTGAGAGCTCGACAAACATATCCTTCTATCGGCCAGGGAGGGAGGGAGGGAGAGAGGCGGCCAGTTTAAGAGGAAAAAAAGCAGCATATGCAATGAGACAATATATTTAGGGGGAGGGGGATGATGTCACTGCCTCCAGTTACAGCAAAAGCTGCTATATTCACTTATATCAGGGTCTACAGATCAGTTTGCTGCTTTCCTTACGTCATTCCATGAAGAGGAGAAACGATGAGACGGGGTTAGCCTCCATGATCATGTATACATGGCACCACAGATGATCATCATGTTCAAAAACACAGGCTGAGAAAAATTATCTTAAGATCACAGTCAGCTTGAGTGTCTGATATAGTGTTACAATTAAGTCATGGGAAACACAATCTAGGTACCCAAAAGATTAAAAAAATGTTTTATTTCACTTTAAGTCAACTAAAAACGTCAGTGTGTTTTAATGTGGTTAAAGGGGAGGGGCATAAAGCAGTGGATACGTGGAAAGTGGATGGAAAAGAAACAGCATTTTCAAAATTCTCTACAAATAAAAACCTAAAAAGATTCATGTTTTAACTCTGATTAAAACCATTTCATCTACTTGCCTTAAAAAGTCACCAAACTAGTGAGTCATTTTTTTGATTAATCGATTAATAATCGAAGAGCCAAACATTCCTTGAAGACGACTTTTTACGAAATTCAACCAGTTGAAACTCAAACTTTTCCACTTCAGGAGTTCTGGATAAAGCCTATTGACGGATGAAAACATTTTTTATATTTATTTTAAAGGCAAAATGTTTATATATATATATATATATTTATATATTATTATTTTTTTACAATTTTGGTATAATTACTGCTCTAATGGGTCGCTCTGTCAGCTAAAGGCATGTTTTAGTTAATTAATCGATAACTCAATTAGTAGACGATTATTTCAATAATTGATTAATCACTATTAATCTAATAGTTTCAGCCCTAATTTATTCATACCACAAAAACAGACACTCTTTACCCCCACTTTCGCATCATGCATTAATCTATTTTGCCCTTTCAGAATCCCAATAAACGATTAAAACATTGGTGTTTACAATTGACCAAATAAAAAGCGAATATTTGGGAGGAACTGCGTAGATTACCTTTGCCTCTGATACAATGTTTTTCTTAAATCACCATCAATACAATTTTAGTATAAATGATATTTTTAACTCCTCGCTTTCTCTCAAGCAAAGATTATGTGAAAATAAACACGGGGTGTGAGTATTCAGGGTATGGTGGCTGCAGTGTTGATCTAACTGGGGTCTGACTGGTGGTTCTCAAGTAAACACAGCGAAGCCGCAATCTGAGGTGCAGGACTGTTTAGGTACGCATCGTCAGCTGTTTTCTTTTTAGCTTCAATAAGTGCTTTGCTGCATGCAAAGATACAGAGGGCTATATTTGCAATGAGAAGTAGACATCTTGGTTAAAAAGCTCAGAGAATTGTCTGGTTTTGTAAATACTGTTACAGTAAATGGACACAAAGCTCAATGCAATGCTTCACTTAGCCACAATAGTTTTTGGCCTGAGAAAACAGCAGCAAATATTTCATCTCCAAAGGCTGCCAAACTGCACCCCGCTGGGCCAATTTCAATGCTTTTCTCCTGAGGAATGTCCAAATAAAACAAAAACAGTGGTGGAGAATAAAGTGTACACAGGACGCTGAATGTGTCATGACTTGCCTGCTAGCCATATTTTACCCAGGTTCAGTTCAAAACAGCAGCAGGAAGACGGATCAGAAAAACACTGCATCAATGATGGCGGGTAGCACGCAACTTCAAGATGCAAGTACAGTAAGGGAGTTTGTGCTCAGGAGTGTTTTTCTATGCCTAAAAAGCCTCAGCATCAAAGCATCATAAGAAGACAGCAGCTTTGACAAAGGGCAAATCAAGTTAAACAGAAAAGATCGTTGCAGGTAAATTAAATTATGCAAAATATTTTCCCAACAGTTTTCATTTCCAACAAACATCTCACCCCGAAGTGTTGGCGAACGGTTTGTCTCTGCATCATTTCATGGAAGTGCTCGTTAAATTTCTTGCCGAGGATGTCCTGCGACAGGGTCTCGTATGGGTCGAATGCCTGCTCCTACAAAACAAACGGAAAGATTTAAAGTTTAAATGATCAAAACAGACTCAAATTCCTCCTCTTCAAATGATCTATTCCTTGCTCTAATAAGGCTAAGCTAAGCTAGGTTTTGCTAAGCTATCCTGACCATAAACCCCCACTGCTCCTCCCAAAAATTAGCCCTGCCCCTTAAGGTTTCTTGGCCCTGAACACATTTTTTATTTTCTGTTCTGTGGTGGGGCTATTTTTCAATCAGGTTTAGCTCCGCTTTTAAGGTCATAATTACTTTTTATTTAAGTAATTAATAACCTACTTAAACCAGCTTAATTTTCAGCTGTTTCATGTTTTTTTCTACTTATAATTTTTCAGTTTTCTAAATTAAGATTCTTTTTTTCATTAGGAAAACTATATCCCATAAGTATCATAGCATATATAAAAAAAGAGCAAGCTGGTTTTTTGCTGGTTAGTCTTTGCTGATTTGGCAGTTTCACATTTAGAGATCCTGATGACCACACACATTTGTATGTATGTAGCTGATTCCTCCCTTAAAACCACACTAGTTACCTCGGCCAGGTCTTCAAAGCAGCTGCCCACCAGGGGATGAGGACTGCCATCAGCAGTCATCTCCACTGCGTCCTCAATAAGTCCCAGGAGCTTCACGGTCAGCTCATGGATGTCCAAGATGTTGCTGAAGATCACCTCAACATCCTGCAACAGCAGAAGAAAAAATAGGAAGTGATGTAAATAATGCAAATACTTTATTTTTTATAAAAACTTGTGCTACATGGGTACATCAGTGCTAAATTTGCATAGTTTAACTATTAAACATTGTTAGATAAATCAATGCAGTCTGTTCCCATCTTAGTTTATATTAAGGCTGCATTTTGCACCCCCTAATTTTTTTTTTCAGACTATTATTGCATTTTTATTTTCCTTTTCTCCAAGGTTTCATCATTTCCATCGTGTTCTCTTTTGTATAGAGTTAGGGTGACCATATTTTCATTTCGGAAAACCAGGACACCTTGGAGCGGGGGTGGGGGGGGGGGGGGGGTGGGGGGGGGGGGGGTTGATTGAAAGAACAAATGTGATCAGAGGAAATGTTACTCGGCGCACAACAGTGGTGAGAATTGGAAGTTCAGTTTAATATAATATAACTCAGTGAATAGTTCCGTCTGAAATGAATGAAAATAGTTGTTTTAATGGTTATAGAGTCAGATATGTGGCGGTAATGTTTGGTTTATCTAAAGGTTTTAATCTGTTACTGTGTAAATGGGTTTGGCTGTAATTTAAGGACAGATTCTAATAGATCTGCAGAGTGGGAACTATAAATCTGATAGTTTAATTTTTTTATTGTTGTTTTGCACAATATGCTTAACTACGTATTTTTTGTTGTTGAATATTAGATATTTTGCAGATATAATTTGTAGATACATTGTTTAGATTTACTTATATCTTTCTACCCCTTTTATAGAATAGAATAGAAAATCCCTTTATTGTCCCACAATGGGCAAATTTACAGCAGCAGAAAGATTATTGAAAATGGTCACACAAATGAGAACCTTAGAAAAATGTATAAGAATAACATAATAGGGAAGAGTTAAAATATAAAAAATACAATTCTGTAAAGTGTTTTAACAATATAAAACTGGAGAATTAATAACCAATATGCAGCTATGGACATTTTTACAGTAATGGATATTTGAAAATAGCAGCAACATCAGAGATGTGCAGAATGACAGCAGCAGGTTATTTAACTGACTGAGGTTTCTATCATTACATTTGATTTGATTGGTTCCTGCTCCCGGTGGTTGGAGCCTTTATTCCACTCTGGATTCTTGTGAGTGTAGTCTTTGTTCACTTCAACTTTTTGAAAAATAAATAAATAAACAAACCGTTTTGAAAACCTCGGTATTCATTCTTTTCCTGCTTTGTGTGTCAACTTTCACGGTTGCTAAGCAACAGAGCATACGGCGGTAAAACTCGCCGAAGGGAGGACCTGTTCAAATTTACAGACAGAACTCTTCCGGTCTCCTTATTTTCAAGGACTTCGAAGGATCCAGTCTAGGTAGACCGCGTCCTTGGAGGATCCGTCCTAGGTTTTCGAACAGAGCCTCTGATTAAGAACAGGGCTGCCCGCACTGACGCGGCTCAGGGATTACGTCACACGGAGCGTCGTGCGCAGTGAAATCAGGACATTTCCTCACTTTCTAAAAAAAAACCCGGGACGCCCGGGACAGGACGTGAAATACGGATATGTCCTGGGAAATACGGACGTTGCCACTGTCACAGGTGGAAAGATGCCAACTTCTAGCTCACATAGATCTCACTTTCCTTTAGTGTGGCAGCAAAGTATTACCGCCGCCTACAGGGATAGAGTAAGAAAATTGGTGCGTTACTCTCGTTAAAAGTAACGTGCCCAAAAATGGAATCCCACTGCGATTTGAAATTGACATTTTTTATAATGCTTTGCATGTTTGCATGATGGAAATAAAAAAATTTGTTTTTGTTACTTTGGCATTAAGAGGTTCAATGATATTTTCATAATCAAATTAATGCTATTACAACAATACCTTATTATGCCAACACAAAAAAACAAAACCTTCTCATTGTCGCTTCTAAAATCCACCGCCGTATTTTTTTTTAAATAAACCCGATTCACTTTCTGCTCCCTGCTGAATCCAAACAGCCGTGATCCATGGTTAGATTGGTGCGTTCAGGGTGATGGAAATGTGTGTTTTTTTTTGTCTCACATTGTATTTTTCTAATGTGATGGCTGCATGTGCAACCACACAACAAATAGTCTGGTAATTATTTCATAAAATCTTATTTTACTGTACTGCATTTCATTTTTTCTACTTTGATTTGGCATTGGTTAACTATTTAGGTGCACACATTTAGTCGACTCATTTTGTTATTTCTTGCTTGTTTGGTTTCTGTACATTAATATATTTTTCATCTGAGTTGCCAGTTCCTGGGAGGCTGTCATGAGTGAAGCCAGTAAAGGAAAGGAGACCCCAGCTGCAGAGGATCTCCTCATTGACATGGAGGCCTAGTTGGACTCTTCCACTTACATTTAGAAGGGGTGTAGGAAGGGTTTACGTTTCTGTATTTGGTTTTGTTTTCTATAATTACATTTGGAAAGTTTAATATTCAAGTCCTCTTCCTCATAGGTTTAGTATATTGCTTATGTTTTTGTCTTTTGTTGTAGTTTTGTTTAGGAAAATGTATTTTATGTTTCACTCTTGTTTCAAAATGGTCTGATCAACCAGTGTTTAGATATGTTTCCCTTGTGTGTCAGCTAGGTAGGTCTTTTCCTGTGTCAGGTTTGGATTATGTTGATTTTTGTCATTTGTTTTCCTTGATGGGCCCAGTCTTGTTTGAACTTTGAACTTTATTTTCTGCTAAATAAATTTGTTACAATTTTTTCATCAATGACTTCCCTGTGCTTCTCTGATATTTTGGCTCGGTCCCTCACATCCAAGTAGGACAAAATTACATACTTTGGTCACGTTGCACCTTCTTCCAAAAACATATTTTTTGGCTGTTTTTTCTTCCAACAATTGCTTTGAAACCAAAGGGGCTGTATGCTTCGTTGATGACATTTTTCACACAATTTAATGAACACATCAAGGCCTCTGTCCAGTCTTGTGCCATTAACCCACACTTTCAGTATCACTCACATGCAGAACATTGAGAACAGTGCAGAGCACTTGTAAATCTTAAATACTGTTATACAGAGGCAACTACAAATACTAAATGTTCTGCAGGGTTTATCTGATTTACGTCCATCGCTCCTCCTGACTTTAGGCTGCAGGTCTTTCAGATCGCCCTCTCCTCTGACACAAAATCTGACCATCAGCTGCTTAAACACCAATTGCCGACAAAATATCTTATGCCCAACTAAAACTGAGCCAAGATCTTTTCAAGAGAGGTGCTGGTCTTAATATGAAATTATCAATGCATGAAGGTAACTGGCTGTCTGCTGAAAAGCCATTTGTAAATTAAGTCCAAGACTGTTCATTTTGACTGCTGTTAAAAAGGGTCAGGGTGCATCTAAATCAGCCATTAGCTTTTTTTTTCTCTTTAGAAATGTGATATCTAACCCTCAATCTTTACGTTTGTGTGACGGGTCATTTTGGGGATGATAAATATTTCATAATATTAAATATTTATTAATATATTTTCTTCAGAGAATCAAAAAACTGCAAACTGTCCTTCCAGCATTAATCATTCGCAGCTAAAGTTTCCAATCAAAGTAAGAGGATAAGGTGTTTCGGAAGTGGACTTCACACAATATTATCAATAAGCATTAGCACACCTGAAGCCTTTCCATATTTTTAACGATACAACTATAAACTTTGTTGTGTTTTATTGAGTTTTCAGTGTCAAACATCTATAAAACTAATCCTGTTTTGCCTGGTTTTGCTCTTTCGTCGCCAAACGAGGAAATTCTGATGTACAAGCATTAGCACAAAGGTAGAAACATAAAAACAACAAAAAAGGAAGAATATGAGTCTGAGCAGCAAGGGCAAATTTAAAGCATAAGAGAAAATACTGTTCAGTTATTAAAAGTAGCACCATCAGAACCAAAGACCTGGACTGAGTAGGATACTTGCTGCAAAACAAGAAAATCAAAGCCGGACTTCTTACAGGAAAGCAAATTATCCATTATAAACATAATAGCACAAACGTTAACACAAGAACCTATCAGAGCGTTGGCTAGATGCTTAGAACAGATCGATATGTGGAAGTTACATAATTTTATCCAACTGAATAAAAACAAACTGAGGTAACGATCTTCTGACCAAAAGAGGAGAGATCCAGAGCTCCAGGTGCTACACCTAGAAACCACTGATTATGGCTGAAATCTTCTCATAATGGTGGACTGAGACCATCACCTTCAGAGGCACATTAAGGTTGTTACTAAGTCAGTCTTTAATCAACTAAAGAACATTTCCAGGATTAAAGGACTAATTGACTAGCAGGATCTAGAAACACTCATGCAACTACTGCAGCAGTGTCTTCATGTTTGCCTAAAACATCAGACAGCTGCAGCAGATCCATAACGCTGCTGCCTGTGTTCTCACTAGAAGTAAGAAAGTAGAGCACATCAGCCCCATTCTCAAGTCTTTGCACTGGCTCCCTGTAGCTCAGAGAATAAACTTTAAATCCTTCTGTTAAGTCTATTCAATTCTATTCAGTTTATTTCTATAACACCAATTCACATTTATTGTCATCTCAGGTCACTTTCCAGTTCACCAGATCATCCAGTCAGATTGATTCAAAGTTTTCTATCTAAGGAAAACCAGTTGATTGCATTTGCTCATTGACTCTTTAGCAATCCCTCACACTAAGAATGCTTGTAGCGACAGTGGAGAGGAAAAACTTCGTTTTAACAGAAAGAAACTCTATAAATCACTGAATGGATCAGCACATCAATACATACTGAATATAGTTCCTATGCTCCACTTCACTGGAACAAACTCCCAGGAGACTTTAAAAGCACTAAAAGCCTAAATTATTATTATTATTTTTTTTTTACGGCACTAGTGGCATCCATACATGGGTCGTGTGCGCTAATCACTGCTCCACCTGGACGCCTTAGTTATTTTAATTAAAAGTTAAAAATCCATTTTTTTTTTATTTATTTATTTATTTTTTTTTAGAACTGACTAACTGTTAAACTGTAAAATGATGGATTATTAGTTTAAAGGTTTGGTCCAATTCTTTTACTACCTGCTTTTATCATGTTTTTATCTTGATTTCTTCTCTTTTATTGTTTAATTTATGTAAAGCATTTTGAATTATCTGTTTACTGAATGGTACTTTACAAACAAACACTAATTAGGTTTATTAGTAGAAGTAATGTTTATAATATCTAACAGTTGCTGGAAGGGAGCCATTGCTCATCTGTGCATCTAGAGTGCATAGATCTGTTATGGAAGAAACTCTCCATCTCTGCAGACACGTCATGCATGGGTTGGGTGACATTATCCAACAGTTCTGTTCATTAATCCTTCATGATTCCATTGGTTACCTACTTTAATAGTGTTCATTAGCAAACCTCTAAACTGGATTTGATTTAGTGGTATTGAAATGAAGATGCTGAATAAAAAATGTTTTTCAATATTTTTTTAAAATGACAAGATTTGAAATCCATGTTTTCTATTCAATTCAGTTTGAATTATATTTATTTATATAGGTCCAATTCAAAACACATGTCATTTCAAGACACTTAAAAATTCAACCAGATCATACAGTCAAATTGATTTTTTCTTTTGCTGGTTAGAATATGGTTGTAGGGCACTGATACTCCATGGTTTGTTTCTTCATAAGAATGTGTTCCAATTAACAACAACATGGCTCATATTTCTCAGAACAATTGTGAAAAGGATGGGAACCTTATTGAGTATTTGGTGAATTCTCCAGTCTAGAAAGAAGCTCAGCCGTGCCGTTATTTAAATGCGGCACTTCCTCGTCATCTCTGAGTTCCTTTAGATGATGCTGTATTTCAACAGACATAATTGAGGTTATTCTGGCTGGGGATGCAGATGTTGTTCCTGCCTAAACCTAATTACATGTTCTGCGTTCCTATGGGCCTCACAAAGGTTTATGCTCCTCACCCAAATGATACCACAAATTACCCAACCCAAAATATGCTAAGCCACAGCAATTCATGAAACTCGACTTCGCACAAACTTCTTCTAAACCTAGGCACACTCAAATCAATTAATGTTGGCAAGCCATACTAATCCCTGAATAGTAAAAGAAATTGAGCACACTTGAGGCCTATATTAGTTGCTATAGTATATTTTTTTCATGCTTGAAAAAGAGAAATTTCTTTGAAGCCCGAAATAAACCGCTGACTTGTGAGGGACAGTCAGTCCACAAAAAATACAAATTTGATGTTAATTAGCCACCAGGATGTGAGGTTTTAGTAGCTCAGAGTAGCTGTAAACAATAAATACCCGGTTTGAGGACAAGCGGCGTGTTAAAACGATGTTGTTTACAGGGGAAAAGAAAAACTCTTTAAAATAAAGCCTATTTGGAGGCTTCAAAGGCTTTTAGACCCTAATGCCCAAATTAAAGATTACAGAGTTTTGGTTTTAATCTTTCAATGATCTTAGTGGGGATTTGGCTTAAATTGCCTTGTTGGGTGTTTCAATATGTGGCTAAAGTGGCTTTGAGTAAGCTGCCCACAGCTACTGACAAAATAGAACAGAGTAGGAATTTCAAATGCATTCAGCATTAAAGTTAATGGATTTTTGTTTTATATATATATATATATATATATATATATATTTTGGTAAATTGTTTCACAGTTCTATGGATCATAGGGTAAGGTATACGTCATAATGAGAGGAAATGTTTTTGGAAAACTGTAATGCTACGTTCACCCCTAAAGCAGCAGAAGCAGCTAGTTTACATGCAAAGTCAATGGTTGACGCGCATCAAGGCGCAGCCAAAGGACCTGCAGCGTGTTTTGGGCAGCATGAGCAGCGTTTCTGAGCACCTGACGCGATGCGAAAGCAGCTGCTGCAGGAGTTGGAAAAATCAAACTATTGCTGCTGGATGCGCCACATCAGAGAAGCTGATCTGGGAGCTGGCAGGGAGATAGACACATCGCTGATGATACAGATCACTATGATCACTCCTCTGAAACAGTTCAACGCCTAAATTAACTTAAAATGCTGTAATCTGCCAGAAAAACATGTTCACTTTTATTATCCTGGTGCCTGCAGTTTGGATTAATTACATGAAAAACGTTTTCCAGCTGCCGCGGCAAACTGCGGAGAGGAGACCGAGCCAGAGATTGCTGTTAAATGGGATTCCCAGTGACAGCGTACCGCCGGTATGTGGGGGTCTAAAGGGCTCCGACAGAGAATCAATATTTATAGGCGGAATGGTAATCTGGATGAACTGACTGCACAGATTAAGTTTTCAGGTGGACTTTCTCACTTAAAAACATATTAAAACTGCTTTTTACCCGCTGATCAAAGCATATATAGCTGCCATTGTTCCAGGCAAAGAAAGGATAGAGTAGCTCCGCCCAACGCGCATCAGACCCACTTTTCCACCACGCAGCTGGAGCAGCAAAGATGCTTCAGCCGCGCGTCAGAACTAAACTTGTACAAGCATAAAAAATGAAATTTTGCTGCTCTTGCTGCTTGCGGTCTGAACGTAGCATAAAGCATGATAGTGGCTGTATCATGCTGAGAGCAAGTATTACTATCAGTATATATTGTACACAGTGTATGGGAGCAAACTGGAAGAACACTAATCATTAGTTTTTTATAACATGTTAGATTAGTTCTTTTAAAAACTGGGTGCACCAATGGGAAGCATCAAACTGGTTTTGGAATGACATGCAGGCTAACACTGATTTCTAGAATGTAATAAAGTTTGCCCCAAAGCTTGACATCTTATTTATAAACTATGAATTCTACAAAGAAGATTGGACAAAAACTCAAACTAAAATAGTGAATTTTAACACAATATATCTAACTAAGTATTAGTAGGGCTATGTACAAGTACTTGGGCTTTAGTGTACGACTGTAACAGTAGGAAACAAAAAAAATTCAAACTAGGACATCTCAAATAAATCAAAGGAAACCTTTCAAAGGTTGTGAGAAAACCCTTAAAAGCAGCGCTTAGATGTTTTTAGCTTGAGCTTGATGTTCCTCACCTCGTCTGTGAAGACTTTGGGGTGGGACAGGAAATGGTTCCGGAACACTTTGATAATAAGGTCAAGCTCTCGTAGATACTGACGCTCCTCTGCGATTTCAAGCTTCACCAGTTCGTCATACGAAAGCTCAGAGAGAGACAAAGGCTCCTCCGTGAACTGCGACATCAAGCCGATGTCCTCCTCCTGGTCAAACATGTCCATTAACACCTAATACAGATGTTAAACAGAACCCATTAGTAAAAAGCAATTAAACATAGCAGTTCCTTCCTCTCAATAAGCCCAAACTCAACCGACTTACTTTGTCTGCACACATGGAGACTTTGATGTCCTGCTGGGTGATTTCATAGTGCCGAATGTTGCCCACATAGTTGCCCGCCAGCTTGAGTATATCAGCTGATATGTATTCAAGTACTGCCACGATGTACAGGGACACATGGTAGTCCACCTTGTAGCCCAAAACCTCCTAAACAAAGAAAAACCAAAATACTTTACATAAAGCAAAACACATGAAATACTCCACAGATGTTGAAGGTCGAGTCACATAGATTTAAAGCGTTTGTCTAAACGTGGAGGATGAATAATTACTGTGCAGCAATTAGACTAGTAATCCAAAACTATAACCTCGTTTATATAAACATCTCTCAGAAACTAACTAAGGCTTCTAAATGGAAGAAAATGGAGAGAGTTCAGCTTTACCTTAAGCAATGGGTGTATTTTGTCGACTGGGAGAAGTAAGGGGCTTCTTCTCTTACGTTTCTCAATAGCTCCCTGGGCATCGTTAATCGCCCACTTATCTATCGGGTGGGGAAAGGTTTTCTGCACGCGTTCCTGTTGAAAGCAAAGACAAGAAGTTGCTTCTTTAAATTACAGATCAAAATGAGCATTTTCTATATATATATTAAAACCATGTCCTTTTTCAGAAAAGAAATACCAGAAGAGAAATTAAGGGTCAGTACCTCTACATCCTGCACAGTGCGAGGCTGGGCCACACACAGCATGTTGAGCAGCTGCAGGATCAGCTCTTCAATGTGCTGCAGGGCATCCTCCTTTGCTTTCAGGTTTGGGTGGACCTGCTCCTGTACCTGTGTGTAAGAGACCACCACAACAAAGTAGGTGAGCGGCAGATTCAGCCAATGGATTGGATTCTTTCCGGCCTTGAGATGTTACAACAATAAAAATGGAAAGACCCCCAAAAATCTACATAAAAAATCTGGAAAAGTACATCATATTCACTCCTGAGCATTAAACGTGTATTTTCTTATTATTAGGTATGGGGAAAAAATAGTAGTAACAAGAATCCATTGCTTAGATCATTTGAAACCCAGATATTCCACCTTTTTTATCCGATGGGTGAGGGAAACATACTAAACACTCACAGGTGAGACTAGCAGTCCCCTTTGTTGTGGATGCTGTAATCAATTGAAAACAACTCGGGAGTTCGGCATTACAATCATTAGTAACATCTTAAGAAATTAATTCAACAGAAGCACAAATACTGAGGAGCAAAATTAAACTTCATTATCTTCTTCTACGAGTTGAAACAAGTCTGGTTTATTCAAATAACCTTTTGCACAAACAGGAAGGCTTATTCCAGCCTCCGTCTATTTTGTATGAGTCGAAAAAGTTTACGGCTGATTAAAATCTTAAAAATCACTGGAAGTGGGGTCAGATAATAGATTTCTGTAAAGTAAATGGACATAATGGAGTCTAGCTGATAAAAATAACTGTTAATCAGTTAGAATCCTAAGTGGAATTTTACCAGATCCTATTATAATAAAGTGGAGTATGAATCTAATTTAATCTCATTGGTTATATGGGCTTACAGAAAAATAAAACACATTCATAAAGTTACATTAGCCTTTTTTTGCAATAAGTCTGTCAAACGTATTTCACTACAACAACAAAATTTCCCGTTTTAGTCATATAAACAGAAAGTATCTGCATCCTCAACAGATTTTTAAACACTATTTTTTTTTTTGTTTGTTTGTTCTCGAAACCAAAAATTGTAAAACACAGTAAGATAGAAAAACTTTTCCTAAATGTCTTTAGATCAGGACAGTTATCTTAATACAGGTCCTATTTAAGGTGGAATTATTTGGGTTGAGCTATTGTGTTTTTTAAAATTAAGCAAAATGAACAATGGCGGTTAATAGTTTAATTAATGTGAGCTAGGGTTGTCAAAAGTATCGATACTCAAAAAAGTATCGATACTGAAACGTTGTATCCGGATACAATACTCATTTTCAAAAGTATCGAGTACCAGTCGCACCTAAACCGTCATTCATCAAAAGTGCAGAATAGAGGAAAATGCACTTTCTGAACACTGTGTGATCAAATAATTCTGTGCACTTTTCAGTTTCAGACTTTTTTTGTAACAGGTGCAGCTGCTGAGAATTATTTTTGTTTCTTAACCGGCTTGGCTAGTGTCATTGTTATGTGTACAAAGCATAGCCAAGTAAGGAAAACTTAATTTTAATTTTGTAAGTTTTTTATCAAGCTTGCTAAATACTGTGCACAGAAAACAACCTCAAAATGTTGTTCTTATTGTTTATTGTATTTATTTATTTATTGTATTTTAATTATTAATCAAAATATTTCTGTTGAAATTTTATCCTTGTGGTATCGAAAATGGTATTGAGTATCGAATATTTTCCTTAGTATCAGTATCGAGTTGAAAAGTTTAGTATCGTGACAACCCTAATGTGAGCTAACTTACTGTTTAACATAAAGTCAGGGTGGCTAAAAAAATTTATTGGAATCAAATCTTTCACGTAATAAAATAAAAATTTGTAGTTTCAGTTTTTTGGTCTTAAAAATAACCATCGCTTTTGGTGAAATGTCTCGTTACAAAACGTTTGTATATGAATACTCTGATTCAGGTAGACCTAAAAGGAATTTTCCAAAGGATAAACTGCTTATCTGAACCATTTTTTTTTTATGTTTACAAAAATTTACTTTTTAATTTTTAGCCTAATCTCTTAAGGTACAGCAATGTAGTAGATAAATAAATACTTAGAGCAGCAATAAACCTAACAAGCACAGAAAATACCCTCCAAAGTTAGAATGGCATGCAAAGTCTCTCTTTAGTATTTGAACCGCTCCATGTGGAACCGCAAGGTAAAGGGTGTGTGGTTTTTGATGCATCCAGCCGTGAAGGTGTGGCTTTATCAGATCAGAAATTGTAAAGAAATGAACATCCCCCAAATGCCTTCCAGCCTCCCAAAAGTTGTCGTCATTTGGGGTGTGCCATCTCCCAGGAATGCTGTCAGTTCAGATACTAATATAGCACCCAAAGAAGACTTAGAGGAGGAGGTAAAAAACACCATGGGAAAATAAAGTGGAGAAAGGCAGATAGAAGAAGGGTTTGAATTTAACGCTCAGCTTACAAACGTCTGTTGCTGCACATATGCAAGTGAATTTCACTGGCATAGAATATAATGGAGCATTTAATGGCAAAACATTGATACTGGAAAGAAGGATGAGTGAAATGTTCAAAGGTCAGCGCTGACCAGGCTTTAAGCATTCTTGCCCTCTGAGTTAAGAGAGATCCAGTATTGAGCAGGACGTCCCCTCTGTCTAAAGTTTGGTTATCTTTGCTTGAGATAACATTAGAAGGTGAAGAGATTTTTTTTATTTTAATAAAATATTATACACCCTAGCCTAGATCTGCATAGATTTATGACCTATTTAGGATGATTTTTAAAGAGCTGGAAATACCATAACCGCAGCTTGGCCATGTTTACCTTCTTGCACATCATTACTGTTTTTGATGCATACTCACAAGACCTGGGAGCTATAAAAAAAAAAAGCAAGAAGCATAAACTGTACAGGAGGAAAATAGATATCAAAGGGGAAGTAGGTTATGAGATTCTTTCAACCCTAAACGGTCACTTGACCAAATTCCACAGGACACCAGCAGCTGTGAGTCACCACTGTGACTGGAGTCGGGGGAAACCCCCGTAGTTTCACAGCATAACTGTCCCGCTTCTAAGAGCCGTGTTGGCAAATGATATCTGTTCACAACAATATCAGGATGGAAGACAAAGAAACAGCAATACACAAAACCGAAAGTGGTAGAAAGTGATTTCAAACAAATACTGAACCATGACAGAGCTGGAAAGGTATGCAAACCCAGATTCCACACAAACTCCTACTGCCTATAGACTACTGAATATAGAAAAACAGTCATCTGTTTTTTTAGGATAACGGTTTTATAAAAAGGCTAATTAATTTTTTTTTTTTTTTTTTTTACACACACACACAGTGCTTTATGTGCAGACCATGTGTTGGTGTTAGGGGATTACATCTTAATGGAAAAGTTAAACCTAACCGTTTACAGAACAGATAAAACTTCAACCAACGTAAAAAATATATACCGTAATTTTCGGACTATTAGCTGCACCTGAATATAAGCCGCAGAAGCCAAATTGCATGATTTGTACATATACAAGCCGCACCGGACTATAAGCCGCAGGTTTTTTATGTAATTACCATATGGTTCGTGCACAAAGAGGATTGTCGGGAAAGAGGCAACCGTTTACTGCCAAATTGACTGCCTTTAGCTTAAAAGCTACATCACATGCATTTCTACCGGTACGTTTGTTTTCCATAATGAGGGCGTCACACAAACTGTCTTGCACTCGCAATGTCCGTCTTTCTCGCCGTCGTTCTGTCTCGTACCACTCGCGGTAGAAGTCTGCTTCTGGAGGACCTCCACATTCCCGAGCGCACGGCTACCGTACTTGTGTGTTGAAGCAAATGTGACATCAACATGGTGGATAGTAAAATCCATAGATTTAGATACCGTATTACCCTAGTGGTCGTTAGCTGTAAAAGTCCACAGATAAGCCGCATTGTTATATGAGCCGCAAGGTCGAAAAATGGGGAAAAAGTCTTGGCTTATAGTCCGAAAATTACGGTAGCTGGAAAAATAATCCATATACACTGTGTGAAGAATTATTAGGCAAATGAGTATTTCCACCACATCATCCTTTTCATACATGTTGTCCTACTCCAAGCTGTAAAGGCATGAAAGCCAACTACTAATTAAGTAAATCAGGTGGTATGCATCTCTGTAATGAGAAGGGGTGTGGCCTAATGACATCAACAAACTATATAAGGTTTGCTTAATTATTAGGCAACTTCCTTTCCTTTGGGAAAATGGGTCAGAATTTGAGAGACTCTGAAAAGAGTCATTGCACAATCAAGTTATTCATGGAAAATAATCAACAGGGGCGCAAGAAGCGTGTTGAAAGAAAGACGACGCAAAATAACTCCCCATGAATTAAGAAGGATGAAGCGTGAAGCTGCCAGGAAGCCATTAGCCACCAGCGGCGCATGTATGACGTCATCCGCGCGCCGGACTGGAGTAGTGACAGGCAGCCCGGGCCACAGGCGGCTACGCTCTACCCCTTCTATTCATTCTAGCTAATCTGAATCGTTCAATTCCATTTCAGAGCGAGATCATCTGTGGTAGCAGCACTAGACATCTTCCAGGCATGTGAAGAAAACTAGCAGCAGTTCAACGGACAGGATGAATGAACGGTAGCTGACGTGCGTGGATGACGTCATACACACTCAGCTTTGTTTTTAAAAGATAGAAATATAAATCTAACCGCGGATGTCTGGGGGACAGTGATTGGCATCCATGTTCTGAATGCTGGCGTACCATAAAGAATAAATGAACAGTTTAGTTTGTGCCTTCAAGTGATTGCCCATAGGAAGACGTTACTGGATATAACGGAATATCTTCAGAACGGCTCCAAATGACACTAAACTCATATGGGAGAGAAGAACATGATGGAATAACGGAAAATCAAGGGACCAATGTAAAAAAAAACCACACACATCGTTCCCCTTTAAGGAGGACTTGAGATGTTACGGCAGATTTTGAAAACTTAGCGTTTATGTGAAACACCACAGCAACTCAAGAGGAAATGAGCAATATTGACATTTAGATTTCAACTAGTCTTCTGATGAAAAAGATTGATAAATTTCTACCCAAGTTTTGACTAGCATTGCTACACTTATTACAGAGATGTACAGATGGTTAAAAAAAAAAAATACATAAAAAAAAGCTATT